CGATAGAATGCCTTATTCCGCGCCTTTCTTCTCTTATCCTTAGCTCTTTTATCCTTATCTATCTTATCCTTTCTCTCGCGGTCTCGTACGGAATTCTTCTTCGTAGAGTACTCTTCTTTAGTCTTACGCTTTTTAGTTAGACGCTTAGGTAAAACAAACTCGCGGTCTTTAGTTCTATCTTCTATTTAGCGCGCGGCGCGCTTCTCTCTTACTATTATAAGGGAAAGAGGCGGGGGCGTAGCGTATAGTAGTTGTTGTCGGTATAGGTATAGAGGAAGAAGTTAAAAGTATAAGAATATCGCGAAGCCCTAATTGTTGCCGCCTACGTAACGTTATATAGGTAAGCTTTCGCAACTACGGCAACTACGCCCCGGTAATAGCAACTACGCCCTAGTAACAGCAACTACGCCCTAGCAACGGCAACTACGCCCTAGTAACGGTAATAAAGCGTAGTAAATACAACCTAGTAACTATTATAGCCGGCAATCGTAGCCGGCAGTCGAATAAGAGTATCCTTATAGCAAAACTACGCCCTAGTAACGGCAACTACGCCCTAGCAACGGCAACTACGCCCTAGTAACGGTAAAAGAGCGTAGTAAATATAATAGAGTTACTATTATAGCCGGCAATCGTAGCCGGCAGTCGAATAAGAGTATCCTTATAGTAAAACTAATATAGTCTCTAGTTCAAACTAGGAATCTATATAGTTCGAAAAAACCAAACCGGAACTAGGGAGCTAGTTCGCTGCTAAGAAACCAAACTATACACGTTTAGTAGTTCGGAAACCGAACTACTACGGGGTCTAATAGTGTTTAGTAGTAAGAACGTAAAATATTTCGTACTCTTAGATAACCTTCTTATTGCCGCCCTTCTTCTTAATTGTATATAGGCGCTAGTCTTCCTTATTCTACCGGAAGCGGTATAAAGCCTAAATCTTCTCGTTATAATCGGCTTTGCTAAGTGTAGTATATCCGAGGCGGCTAAGCGTCTTATTATCGACTATTACTTATTAAATAATACGAAAATAGCGCTCTCGAGTTATTAGCATCTTATCGTAGCCCTTCTACTTCTTCTCTTTAAGGTATTCGTTAAACGCGACGTACGCTAATAGAGGGAACGGATTAACGCGCTATTCGGCATCCTAGCTATCGAAACTAGGTACTATAACGGTCGGAATCGCTAGTAGTACTACTAAAGGTCGTATAGGTATATTACGTTGCAGTTAGAGGTTTAATTGTATAGCCGTAGGCGATATTAGGCGAAAGGAAGGGTTAGTAGTCGCGTTAGAAGACATTTTTAGTAAAAGTTAGTATTGTTAGTAGGGAACTAGATTAGGAAACTAGATTCTAGCTATTTGCTTTTAGAAGCTATAGCTGTATAATAATACATCCTTATATTACTCTAAATACCGGAAACGACTCGATTAAGTGCGAAGATAGTCGCTATTGTTACTCCGGTATAATAATACTAATACGTAGTTGTATTATAATAGCAGATTAGATTTAGTAAGGATCCGCTTTCCTAAGCTTAGCAGCTTTATCTTACAATCCGGTTTACATATATAAACCTAACTAAACAACACCTGAAACTAGACCAAATTGGCCTTGTTTGATCAAAAGCACGAGTCTAATAAAGGTAAGCCAATTTGATCAAATTTGGCTAAGAAACAAGGCAATTTTGGTCAAACAAATCGAGATTTGATCAAATACGAACGGGCGATAACAACCCCAATATTCCCATACAAGCCAGCGCAGATCACCGAGGAGATCATCGAAAGCACATTCCTAACAGTTTGCTATATATAAGGCGAGAGGCCTTGCATTGCAGTTTGTATGACGTATTGTCCTTAATAGGCATACATGAAGAGTCCAAAGAACATGTAAACGAACCAGATAAAGGCGCTCGCCAAAGTGAGAGCTTTGAGGAAGTCGCGAGGTCGTTTCATTTCTGCTATGAGTTCGCAGAAAATCATAGCGCCGCCGTAGGCATACACTGCTTGCATGAAGCCATTGATTGATCCAATGAAACTGCCAGAGTTCGGGAGACCGGCACTATGCTGGATTTTAGGATACGTTCCGTCCTGAAGCTGAGCCACGAGACTCCCACCAGGTGCAGTCAACGCTGATCCAGCCGAAGCCTGTTGAGCTCCTACATAGTTCGATGCAGAGCTTGCAGCCACCGCCATAGTCACAAACGCCACAGAGACACTAAGCCATATCGCCGCACTAGCGAAAATGCCATACCTCTTCAAAGTACGAACCCGTCCAAGCAGAATCCCAGCAACAGTCCAAACCAAGCAACAAATCGCAAAACAGAGTCGAAATTTCGCAACCTGAGATAAACCTTGCCCGTTACCAATGATAATCAACCCGATGTTACAAATCCGCTGCAGCGCTTGGAGGAAATTGCAGCAGTGTCGAGCCCAGGTACTATAGATTCGAAACGCAAGATCTGAGTATGAGCGTAAAGGGTACGGGTAGGAGTCGAGTGCGAGGAACACTTCCCACAAGAGCCATCCGCTGTAGTAGGCCAAAGCGCCAAAGACTGTGTAGAGGACTGTACCTGGACCCCAGCCAGTGGTGGCGAAAGCGAATGGGGGGCCCTAGGGGCCTAGGATGTCGGTGGTGATGAGATAAAAGCATGCTCCCCAGGTGGCGGTACGGAGGGCTCGTGAGGCATTGATCCACTCGTCATTCGTGATTTCAAGCTGGCTATTCTCGGTTATGGTTGCGGTTACTGTCTTCTCTTCGATAGCAGGGACGACATCATCGGTCTTTGAGCTGAATAACCTTCTGTGATTTTTCTGGCCTTGCCTGTTTGAACACCTCGACGAGCTGCCTGGTCCTCCTCGGCTCGCGTGAGTTTGGCGTAATGGAGATACTCTTCGAATGAGACGCTTGGGTCATGCAATCTATGTTGACGGGGCTGGAGAACTTGGGTTTCGTCGTTCGCAGTAAAGCTTGAATGAGAAGTCTTCTCGCTGGGAACGATGTAAGTCTCTTTTGC